GAATTTGACTTGGTTAATTCACTAACTCTTCCTAATCAAAGTCCTCAGAAATTGGTAATGACAAATAGGAAATTATTCATGGGACTCTTTTGGAATTCGCTATCAGTTCTGCTTTAGTCTTCACATTCTTGCTGATCAAAATTGGCCTTAGAAAAATTCATCACTAAGCATTACTGGACGTTTTAAGCTAGCTTCAGATCCAAAGCAGTCAGGATTTCACTTGATAAGACCAAGTTCATAAACGTGCGACGTGCTGAGTAAGCAACTCCATTCTCTAGCCTCATGGTTTATTCTGCCAGCTATAATGTCCCCTTGGCTACTGATTACTGTATCCATCACATTTTTGCAACTATGCCTCTAAGCTTGACCCATGTGTTAGCTTGGTCTAATCCAGAAATAAATAAAGACTAAGGTCAGCAGCTGGCTCAGAATGCAATATATAGTGCTGCTAGTTTCCTACAGACTGTGCCCTCATTGAACAGAAAATGTTTATAGCCACTTCTCCTCCAAGAAGTGGGGTTGTTGTGAGGGCTCCAGTAAGATTAAGGACACCAGTTAGGCCTCGTTTAATAAAGGTTAGATTTTAACCCATCAATTTTGTATTACATTATTGATATAGAAGAGATCTAGCAGGATAACAACTACTATGTCTGGGAAGAGATTTAAGAGATTTCCAAATCTGTTTTTCTGATAGGTAGTGGATTGTTTTAACCCTCTCATGTGTCAGGAGCACTAAACAGAATCTGTCAACTGCTCATACATCCCTAGTCTGAACACAGGCAGGACTGGAAGTTCCAGGTGCAACAGCCAGTTTTATGCTTTTGTTGTCTTCACACTACCCAACCGTTCTCCCTCATGGGAGCAGTTGGAAACAATCGTGTGATTTTAGTAAAGAAGATAGAGGAGTAGGTCTAAGCTATACCAGAAATCTAAGCAAAAAGAATTCCCCTCACAGACTGTCATAAGTAAAAGTCATCAGAATGACGATTGTTTTCCTCTGTGTGTGTTTTCAGAGATATAATTGCAAATTGGCTTGATTTAGGAATGAACTCAGATATTCAGGGTTCCAATTCAAGAATCATGCCTACCCTGCTTTAGCATCTTTGTTTCAAAATGATTTACTGCTTTATAACAGCCTCATAGAAATTGAATTATTGATCATCTTTCCCCCTTGAAGCCCACATCTTGTTTTATGTTCCAGTCACATGTATGGATGCTGTCTTTACTAATGTGGGCCTCTTATGCCCTCGACCCTGACTGGTTGACACTTTATCCAAGCGACTGCTCCTTCCCTCTTACTTGACACTGTTGACCTCAATCTTAGGAGTTCATATAGAAAGGCTGTCCTTTATATAAAGTCATCTGGTTGTCCAGGATTTCCATAGAACACTTTTTCAAGATTCAAATAACTAAAATTTAATCTTACTCCTATGAGGTCACGTACACTTCTACCTGACACTTTCTGGCCTCCTTTTCCTAACTTCTCTCTGTTTGGAATTTGGTGCTGTGTACTACATTTCTATGGGAAATCATAATGGAAGAACCAAGTCTTTGAAGTCAAATGGAATGGAATTTCTAGTCTATCACTGCCATTTAAATGATGAATGTTTTTCTCTGTCTTAACAGAACTCTCTTCATCTCTAAAAACCGAGTCAATAATATGAATATGATTTTTGAAGGTTAAGTTGGATAATGTGTGTATTATATGGGTATGAACATGAGCTGGAGTGTCTGTCTGGGTTGGAATCACCCCCCTCCTTCTTCTTCCATGGCTTCCTCTTGCTTTCTCTGCCTGCTTTCCTTCCTTTCTCCAAGAAAATTGAGGACAAGGCTATGTCCTGTATATTGAGGACACAGCTGTTAAATAACTTACTCTCTAGCACTAGACACAGAGGTGAAAATCAGTAACTTCTTTATCCTTTAGAGGCCATTAAAGGGAAGTGATCAGCAAGGGAAAAATTCTCTCACTACCAACTCTATAGGACCTTCTTTCCAAATTATGAATAATAGAGTGAGTTTGCTCAAGGTCTTCTGCCAAATTTGCCTTCAGGAAAACACTTGATTACGCATCAGTTGGGCATTAGTATTACCTAAGAGACTGCTCAGTTTCTCTCCTGCAATAGACATCTCTCCAAGTTTGGCATCCTATAAGCAATTAATGACTAAAAGTTTTTTTTACTGTTTACCATAAAACATTTTGTGGTTGTTGATCTTGAAAGATGAGCATGCTTCAATATGCTGCAAGACAATAAAGATATCTCCACTGCCCACAAAATTATTTTTCTGCCGGTAGAATCCAGTAACCTCAGGAATCTATAAAGGAAGAATAATATACTGATGTGAATGTCAAATTGTCTTTTAAGTATTTTCCTGTTCAGATCCTTTAGAGCTGTGACTATGAGCGGTTTGATCTATCCCTTTATTCCTTTCTATAAGGAAGGCAGCCAAAACACTACTTGATCTGTGATCAGAATGTGAAGTTCTTTTCTACTTGAGCAAAAGGAAAGGAATTGAAAACTTATCTCTGTGCAAAGCTAATCTGGGAAACTAAAAGGAATCTGCACCCCCTTTTAACATCAATAGCAAAATTTATCCCCAGTATTAGCTAGACAGTTGCTTCTTGTTTGATTTAATTACCTGAAGATGTGGGTGGTAATTGTGGTTAAGGTATATGTAGAACCAGGGGGCATTGTATTCATTATTGTGGACTGGAAGGTAAACTCCTCACCAAATTGCATTATTAGTGGTGTAAGGACTTCCAGATTCCTTTTTCTTTCCCTTAGAACAGGTGAGCTTCCTTAGTACTCCTGGTTCATGGCTCTGAACTGCTTCCACCTTATTTCCTCAGACAACAGGCATAGATGATGTAATCCATAGATATGATGTCTTAATTTCCTGCAAAGGGAAAGTGCTTCCAGTTCTTTAGGGAAAATATTTTACCTCTATGAGAAAGATTGCTATGATTATTTGTGATTAATAATATCATTCACACTCAAGATTACAGGATAAGGGAAAACAATCTTGATTCGTTTAAGAAGCCAATAAGGATCAGATGTGATTTTGCCAAATTGTACTGATTTCCCCAAGTTCTTTCATAGAAACCACAGTATTGGGCTCCCACTGTACTGATGAGGTAGGTAGAGCAAGAGTTTTCATTCCAAATTGTAGGTGATTCAATAGCAGTTCCACAGGCATGGAATGACTTTCACAAGGTCTCATAGACAATAGGTCACATAAGGACCTTTGCCAATTGCCTTTTTTAACTTTGTGCTGTTTTTCTATAAAGTCTTGTTATATCCTCAACTCAACTATGCATGTCTACATGCCACATAATTGTTTTTATGTGGTTGAATTATTATCTTTCTAGATTTATCCTTCCCAAAATTAATCTATACATTTATAAAGTTACAGAATCAGCTTATGGGAAAAATAAGTAATGGGTGGAAAATATACAAACCAGCAAAGAAGTGCTTTAGTTAAATATTATGTTTATATTAAGTGCTACCACAGTTGCCTAAGATAGCTATATTACTGGGAGAACAGCTACTGAAAGATTGCTTTATGGCTTAGTGCAGGGAAAGCACCATGAGTGCATTCATTCCTTATGCCTTGACCGAGTGGTGTGCAAGCGTCAATGTCTTCACGTGAGTGATGTGGGAATGAAGGAAAGTCAAAGATAGCAGGCTTCAATCTGAAAACTATATTTAAAATTTCTATTTAATACTAAGAATTTTTGTGAATCCCAGAATTCAGTTTTATATATTGCTCTAAACAAAAATGGGCACTAATCAGACTGAGAAAGTTAATGACAAAGAAGACTCATGGTAATATGTGCTGCTTCCTAGGAAATAAGTTGCTCAGTGTGATATACGAAACTGTAGTGTATAATTCTGAATAGAAGTTTGAAGACTTAGTGTGGTCAGAAGCACCTGAGGAATTTGTCAAAATTTCAGTGTAGATTGCCTTCTCTTCAATGTTTCTGATGAACTTGGGAGGATCCGGGATCCTGCATGTTAGTTCTCTAGGCTATTCTGTTACAGGTGGTTAGAACTTCAGAATTTTTGGGGGGCTGGCACCATGGCATAGTGGGTTGATCCTCCGCCTGTGGCGCTGGTATCCCATATGGGCGCTGGTTCTAGTCCCGGGTGCTCCTCTTCCAGTCCAGCTCTCTGCTGTGGTCTGGCAGAGCAGTGGAAGATGGCCCAAATCCTTGGGCCCCTGCACCCACAGGGGAGACTGGGAATAGGCTCCTGGCTCCTGGCTTTGGATTGGTGCAGCTCTGGCAGTTGCAGCCATCTTGGGAGTGAACCAACAGAAGGAACACCTTTCTCTCTCTCTGTCCCACTCACTGTCTGTAACTCCACCTTTCAAATAAATAAATAAAAATCTTTAAAAAAACTTCAGAATTTTTAAAATTTACAGTACTCAAATAAATAAAGTACAACAGTGATTTCTAGAAACTGGGAGAGAAAGCCCATGTAAAACAGGTGTGGAGTTTCAGTTTAGGCAGGAGAAAAAGTTCTGGGACTGGTTAATGGTGATGACTGAATGGAGTTACTCTACTAATCTCTAAAGCTTGCAAGCTTTATGTTATGTATATGTCACTACAATTTCAAAAATAAGAATCTATAATGCAAGTGGTGGCCATTCTTTAAAGACGTTGCTATGACTTTTCATTCTTTCTAAATGCTGGTAAAGAAAACAGTATCTCCAGTTTAAAATGTCACACAATTATGAGTTGTCTAATAATTCATCATTTATTTATGCCAGAGCAGGAGTAATAGACTAAGCTTAAAAATTTATAAAAATAGTTTTTGCTTTATTAAGATAAAACAGATATTTTGTATGCTCACAGTTTGATGAAGTCCATAATAGTGTTATAAACAGTTGCTCAATCTGCAATTTAATAATTGTTCTTCCAACTGCTTCTCCAAAACAGACATCAATTTTGTGCCACTTTTACAATAAAAAATGTGTCGTGATACTCATGCTCTTTCCAGGACAGGGTGTGGGCCAATGTGGGGAAGAGCCTGAACTGCGTAATAGCTATGGTGGATAAATTGATTGAAAGAGATGGTGGCAGTGAAGGCAGCGCTGGCAGCAAAGAGGGAGAAAAGGACGCGTCACTAGAAGACTCCATCACATCTCATCCAAGGGGTAAGAAATCATTTTTCTCAATCATCCACTGAGTAAATAAAACGAGAAAGCCATGATAAAATGAGGTAGAGTCAATAGTGCCTTTGATGAGAGTGCGGATAGCATGCTTTTCCACAGCCCTGGCTTGGGTGTTGGAAACCTGTTTATCAAATTGCATCTCAGGAGTGTTTTCAGAACTGCTTGCAATGCTCGTTCTTTTTTCTTTTGCTACATAAAATTCTCCTTGATAGAACAGTGTTTTCTTATATAGGGTCTGACATATTTATTATACTTTTACTCATTCTTCCAAAATTTTATTAGGAAGCAAAATAAGCATCTGATCTCTTAACTCTTAGAAACTTAAAAGGCTATCAGACCACAATTACCACATAATGGTTCCTGAATGGAATGCAATATGGTAGAAGAGTTCTTTTTTTTTTTTTTTAGTGAATTATCCCAAAAGCATGTAAGACTGTTTGATTCCAAGGAATATGTTTTGTTATTCTGAAAATATATATATATTAAGACTTTATATTTTGTGGGATGATGTACAGACACACATACATGCATACACATGTGAGTGTATGAGTATGCCTATTGATAGATAAAAGATAATTTTCAAATGTATATCTAATTTGCTTCTTGGAAAATATGATAATAAATACAGTTGTACATGTAGATTTTATTATCGGTCCCCGATACATGAATATTTTGATTTGATTAATGTTGACACAAAAATCAAGACAAATATCTACATTTCTTTATACTTCTAGGAACTTGAGACTTGTCCTAGACTACTTCTTCCTTGTTAAGAATTTTAAAATGTTTGGAGAGACTAACCAGTATTGCCCTACTTTCTTCTGAAATATGTCCCTCTTTTTTTTGTAAGAAAATGAATCATTTGAAAGTAAGCATGTTTATGAAATTAAATTTATGTATTTCCAATTTGTTTGCCTGATTTTTCATCACTCACATTTTCATCAGTTTAATCATGTAAAACATCAATCTTTCTTCACTTGATTAACAGTAGAATCATTTGGTAATCACATTTGGAAACTATGGCTTTCTGGTTTTCTTAGTGGATAATCCCTCTTGTTCCATTGTGTATTCACACAAGAGAAAAGTTTATGCAGATAACACTTGGTCCTACTATATGAGGATTTTCTGTTTAATAATATCAATAGTATTAGTTAATGAATCCAGTATAGTTCTATAGCTTTACATAAATCAAAATGGAAGCTTGTCATAACTATGTCATGAAAAAGCAGTACACTTCAGTGTTCTTTAATTGAACATGTATTGACTATCAGCTGTGAGCCAGACCCTGCTGTGTTCTAGAAAGTGAGGTAAGTATCATGCCTTTTAGCAACTGATTTCATCCACTGGTGGATATTCAAGACATATTATTAGCAGAAATAAGATAAGGGATACTCAATTTTGCTACATTTTTATATTAAAAGACAAGTTTATTTTGGTACAAACAATTGAAATGTGTGCATAGTTGTATCTCAGTATTGACAGCATTATGGTTTCAATGCCAGCTTTCCAGCTACAGTTATATTTTTTAAAATCAACGAAATATTGACTCAGATTATTTTTTTTCTTTTTCCAACTTTAAAATCATTTATGAGATTACACTGAATCCCTTAAGTAAATAAAATTTTATTCATGCATGTAACAGAAAATAAAGTTCAAATCTTTTTGTCTTCAAAGATTTCCCCTTACAAATTTAAAATCAACAAAACATAGTAATAAAAATAAGCCATTATGACCATATATCCTAATGTACACTAGGATGAAAGAAGGTATTCTTATTTGAAATATGGACTTGAAATCAAGGCATGTCTTTAATTTTGTCAGGATCTCAGGATTCTTTTATACTATGAAGTAGTATACAAAGCCTTTTAAATTTCTGGCTAAAAAGCCAAAAATTTTTTTAAATGTGAGGATATATGGAGAGCTATTGGAAAACATATTAGGGAGAAAACTGAGCATCAAACATGTCTTCCAGCTGGCGACAGTGTCTGTGGGTTAAGGATAAGAGAACTTGGACTTTCTTGGTTCTTCCTAGGACAGACAGGAGAGGACTGTAGATGGTTGGGGCTTCAGAAGAAGAATCCCGTCTTCACCCCTAGCTTGCTGACTGAGGGACCTCAACTGGTGGCTTAACATTCCATGACCTCTCATTTCCCTCACCTGTAGGACATCAATAACAACACACTCTACCTCACGAGACAGCAGTGTTTAATAAAATACAGGTATTCAAACTTGGCCACATATTGGAATCTCCTGGAGATCTTTAAAACATACTTTAATAAGGTGACCCAAATATTGCACTTAGCATAATGCTTGCCCTACCGTAAGTCTGTAATTCATATTAGCGGTTATTATCATTGTACATAAGGTATTATGCTAAACAGTGATTGCCGTTTTGGTGAGTAGGCACCATGAAGTATTTGATTTGCCCTGGGAACCTCAGCATTTTTCTCAGTCTCCTCATATGACTGCGATGTGGAGCCAAGGTAGAGAATAGAATTGCAGTGCTGTTTATTGAAAGAATAATGAAGTGGACATCTTCTCCTTGATGTGCCCAGCATCTCATGAAGTAGGCAGACAACACCTTACAAACCTTGGAAAATAACACTTGGAAACCAACATGGGGGAGTGCAGAAAGATTTTGATAATTTTTTGTAACACAGGTTGTTTAACTAGCAGAATCTATAAGCACACTTCTGGCTATAGTCTTCTCAGCCTTAAATGTTGCTTTGGTTTGAATGTCTTTCCCATGAAGTTGTTTGCTCCCCAGATTTTTATGTTGATGGAACTAAGATGGTAGGAATTTAATCCAATTATGATTTTTGGATGTATATCCATTGAAAGATGATTGGATGGGATGGGGTTATTAGCCCTCATGGTTAAATTTTGGTGGCTTTGTGAGACTGTATGGAGAAGGACACACACACTTGCTCCCTGTCTCCTACTATGGAATGTTCTGCAATGCCTCAGGACTTTGCCATCATGAACATCATTACAGTTGCCAAAACAATAGGGCCTGCCTGATCTTGGATTATGACTCTCCAAAACCATGAGCCCAATCAACTCATAAAAATTATTAATATAAAGAGAACAAATTTTGTGTATTTCATGTATTTCATAGGTACAGTTATAAAAAGATAACCATACTTCTCTCCTTCCTCCACTCCCTGCCTCAATCTGCCTCCTTCCTTCCTGCCTTCCATTTTTTCTTAATTTTTGCAAAAAGAACAAATTTGTCTACTCTAAAACTATAGGCTTAGTTTACCATGAACCATAGTGTTCAAAAAGTAAAAAGTAGGAAGACCATGGGACCACAGGAGTATAAACAAGAGCTATAAAATAACAATCACATCACAAACCATCTGTTTCATTCCTACATTTTTTTTCTTGTATTCTGTATTAACAGCCACATCTCAAATAAAGCATGTAATATTTGTCTTTTTGGGACTGGCTTATTTCACTAAGCATGATGGTTTCTAGTTGTATCCATTTTGTTGCAACAGACAATATTTCATTATTTTTTATGGCTGAAAAATAGGTCAACCACATGAACCAGCTGTCCCTCTCCTGTGAGTTCGCCCAAACAAAATAAATCAATTCAACTTTTTCTCTTTATAAATTATTTGTCATAAGCATTCTTTTACATCAACAAAAAGCTAATAGGGATATTTTCACTAATTTCATGCCACTTTAAACAATATCATATTGTGATTTCTGTTTATTTGTGAAGTTTCACATTGGATGACTGCTATATTTCAAAATGTAACCTTTTTAAAAAACTTCCTTATGTTTTTGAAAGTAAGAGTTACAGATGAGAAAATCAAGCAGAGAGATTTCTTTCATCTGCTGGTTCACTCCCCATATTGCTGTAACAACCGGGACTGGGCAAGGCTGAAGCCAGGAGCCAGAAACTATCTGTGTCTCCCACATGGATGGCAGGGCACAAGCACTTGGGCCATTCTCTTCTGTATTTCCCAGATGTCAGCAGGGAGCTGCATTATTAGTGGAGCAATTGGGACAAGAAGCAGCACCATACGGGTGCTGGTGTTGCAGGCATCTTTACCTGCTGTGCCACAACACTGGCCCCCAAAATGTTACTTTTGAAAATAAAATAAATTTCTTCCATTGTCCCAGTCCAAAACTTTCATTTTTTTTTCATTTTTTAAAGCTAATTAATGAATTCTGTGATTTGAGTCATCTATTCATGATAATATATGATATAAATATTGATGGATATTTGTTTATATCATTTGTTAGTGATTCTTTTTTATAATGTTGCATCACATCTGTTTTTTGTTCTTTTTATGTTCAGTTCTGAAAATACTATTAATTATTTATTGGAATTTTTTTCTATTTCATATGGTTTCAAATTTTTTAATTGAAATTTTTAAATATTTTAAGGTAAACAAATTTTATGTATTTCATATATATAGATTTTGGAGAATAGTAATACTTATCACCTTATCCTCCCTTCCTGCTCATGCCTCCCCTTTTCATCCTTTCTTATTTTTTTAATTTTAACAATTACATACTTTCACTTTATTTTATACTCATAAGATTAACCCAGTAATAAGTAAATAATTCAACAAATAGTAAGAACAAAACAGTGTTCTTTGACAGTAGAGATAAGGGCTGTAAACAGTTATTGAATCACATACATTACATTTTTTTGTACTCTTATTATTTAGCACAGATCACAGATAATATGGCTTGTTTCACTATGTATAATGGATTCTAATTGCATCCATTTTGTTGCAAAAGACAGAATTTCATTTTTTACAGCTAATATTCCATACTACATATATACTGCAATTTATCAATTTGTAAGTTCATGCACGTCTGAGTTGATTCTATATCTTAGCTATTGTGAATTGAGTTGCATTAAACCTGGGGGTACAGATAATTCTTTCATATGCTGATTTCATTTTGTTTGAGTAAATTTCCTGGAGTTGGATTGCTGGGTCATTTGGTTTATCTATTTTCAG